CCGTGCGGGTCCGCGTCGGCCGGAGCCGCGCGGGGCCGGGCGTGCTGCGGGGACCGAGTTTTAAATCACAACTGCGGGAGCTGCCTCGGTCGTTTTCCCTTTTTTTTTCTTTTTTCTTTTTTCTTTTTTCTTTTTTCTTCTTTTTTTAAGTCGCGGTTTGCATTGGGTAACGCGCTCTCACATTTATTACGCAACAACTAATACGAGCCGCAATAAAAATAGAACACCGGCAAGGCAAGCTGTAGCAGTAAGTAGCAAAAACCCCCGAAACGTTAAGAAAACCCACAACCTGATGTAGCTTGCACTGGTTAGTGCATTTCATAATATCGTCAACTGCTGGAAACAACAAGAAAAATAATCTAATGTATACAATAAAACCAGAACATGAGTTTGACAAACACACCCACCATAAGAGCAACAACAAACAGGAGCACTGTTACAAACGCTTCCAAATAACAGACCAACACAGCCTATATCCTGAAGCAAATCTACACATGCAAACAGAAGTTAAAAAAAATAATAATACTGTTATAACCCCAAATATGATTCAATTGCTGCAGCACAGAAAGAAAGGGGGGGGGGGGAAAAAACAGAACTGTTGGAAAAAACGAGTCCAGGGGAAACATCTGAGCGCCAACATAAAATAAGAAGTAGTTAGGGGATTTCTCTGTGGACGCATATGCCAGCAGAGGCTGCCACGCTGCCTGTTACAGACAGCCATGCTGTGATGCCAATTAATAAGTCAGTTTATTGTAACCATAAGGTGAAGGCAGTTTTACTGGAAGACCTTATTTCCAGAAGATTAGCTTTCAAAAAACGTGACCAACGGGACTGAAATTTCTCAGGAGCTCTGATATAATCAGCAAGATTGGTTTTTGTACAGGCAGGAGGACAGATGCTTAGGAAAATTCCACTTAGCCAGGCTTGTGGCTGCCTCGGGATGAAAGCAAAGTTGTGCAGATGCCTTAACTGAACCCAAGAAAAAGTGCTTTTTTGCACTGAACTTCAAGGCTCGTGCAAATTCAGGAACTAGAAACTCGCTCACAGCTGTACCGCTCTTGGATGTGCTTACTTTGTAAGACAGAATTGGAAGCTGCATCTGCATCGACGGCCAAAGCCCACACTTGGGCTGTGCGTGGCTCGGGCTGCCCTCCTGCAAGCTGACCTTGTTGCCTTGACCATCAGGTACCCGAAAGCCACTTCAGTGCCCTCTGCACCCAGAGGACATGGCCTCTGCGGGAACACGGAGCACGCGAGCAGTAAGAAAAAGGTACGTCCTGGGTCTTCTTAAGGGGAACAGCCACACTTCACAGCGGGTGTTCGCTACATTTGTCCCGCAGCTGGTCATCCTACGTTCCACGTTGCCAGACTGAGCAAGGAAATCCCTTTGAAACACCACCTGAGCTCTGCCCTGCCTAAAAGCATCCTGGATACTGGGTACAGGGAAGAATCGGATTTTGAGTGCAGGGCACTTTTTACCATCATTCTGCTGTATTCCCATTTGCAAGGCCATTCTAAAAGAGTACACATGTACCACAGCATTTGAGAGCTGAAGAGCACCAGGTCAGTTCTTTTGAACGCACTGTCCTGCTCCAGTACATGCTTGATCCACATAGATAAGCAGGGTATAAATTTATGAACGCCGTAACACACACAGACACCAAATCGTGAGCATGACCAAAGAGCCCCTACAGGAAAACTGCTGCCACACTAGGCATGGGGGCTGGGAAAAGTTGGCAGGCTGAAGCTTTCCAAGGGAGGGGGCAGGGAGTAATCAGCTGCGTATTTGTTATGAACACTTGGGAAAACGTACATCTTTCACTCCAAAGACTCATTTTCAGCTAAACCATAACCCGAAAGTTTGATTTTTAAATGTATTTGTATTTTAGTTTGAGACAAACTCCTGCAACAAAAAAGTGTGTTGCTGAAATGTTAAGATTTGGCAGAGTTATAAGCAACTGAACAGGGGGTCTCATAACGCAGCGGTCAGCAACCTCAGCGACACGCAGAGCACGCAACAGGGGGGCTGAGCAAAACGGGTGAGCGCAGGCAAAAGGGCAGAGACAAGAGAAGCTGGGAGGGTCCCCGCAAGAGCATAAAGCCCTTCAAGCTGGCAGGGCAGAGTCACCTCACAGTGAACACACACAACTTCAAAACTGGAGTTTGATCCTCACTGCAAGTCCACTTTCAAGCACAGCTGGTGATGGAGGGTGCGACAAAGCTGCAACCCAAAAGCAGTCTCCGACTATGCCTCATGCCTCCTTATCTCACCCAGGGTGGGCGTAAGACAGTTTCATCCCAAATTGTTATGTTCATTATGCATCAGGCTGAGCAGGCAAAACAATTCACATGAGAAACTGTCCCCAGAGATTTCACCACTATCAGCTTTCAGCCTGGAGCACACAAGTCACTCACACACCTACCTACCTGTAGGTCTGCAAACTTGCGCTTGAAGAACCCAGCTGCATCCTCCAAGGGAACAGGAAGGCAAATATATTCTAGGGATCCTTAAAGCCTTCTTTATGCAAGGCAGTGAGTTTAGATAATGGTTTAGCTAAAGAGGCACAGGCTGACTCAGTTTGAATAAGCCCCATAGGAGGTACAGCGAAATCAAATCAGAATGAGTCAAGCACAAAGTACCTGGCCCAAAGTAAAAGCACTCAGACTGAGGAAAAGATAGTTGCAACCTTTAAATGAATTTCTGAACTGATTTTGCCAGATTAGTTTTACACACAAGATGTAACAGTCTGCCTGTTCTGGAATACCTTAACTCCAGCTTTTCCATAAAACGCAAGACAACAGCAGTAGCTTTTTACTTCTTCCTCCTCCCCAAGCTCAGAGGAGCATCCTAGATTCACCCAAGGCCTTTTGATTAGCCTCTGTGGTCTCTTATGTTGCACCTCCAGTTACCCAATTAGTACCTTGTTAACTAACACCTGCAGCGTATTTATTCCTTGCCATTGCACTACTTTTAACCCTTAATGCACAGTGGTATGTACACCCTTCTAGGAAGCTTTGTACATCGGCTTTGACAAGAAAAACTTATTTGTGCAAAACCAGAGTGGTTTGCAGGGCTGCTAAACACTGACACTTTTTGCTTCTCTTGGTGTCCAGGGTAGGACTTGAGTCTTTTGAAAACAAGGGTGGACGGAAGCAGGAAAGGGAGATACTTGTCTCTGTGGGACCAGTGAGTTTTGTGAGAACTGGCCGTGCTCAGCGCCTTGCATGACTGCACCCAACAGTATTTCATAGTAATCAGGGACTGCTGGGAACACTAACCGTGAGCACCAATTTTTCTGACCTTTGCTATAGGTACTAACTGTAAGCTTCCGATTCTTTACCTCGCCATTCAGTGCCTGTTTCACCATCAAAACCATCGTTCCCTGCTGCAAGGGAGCTCTTTGTTGGTATTTGTACTTGGGAATTACCAAGGGATTACAAGTGGAGAAGGCTGCTGAAGGGGTGTGAATACCGCATCGGCAATGCATTCTGACCTCCATCTCTGGGCACGTCCGTAGGCACGCTGTACATTTACACGCACACGAAAGGCTGATGCGCACTCCACACGCCTTGAGGCAGGCAAATTTGGCTGTTCTGACCATTTTGTCAGCCATCAGCCACCACGGGCTACAAGAGACCTCATGTATCAGCGAACTCACAGCAGACCCTATTACCAGCAGCTGCTATCTCTAGAGTGGATGTTGTTATACATTACAAAAAGAGAATTTATTCAATAACAGTCATGTTTGGGATAAAGAAATAATAGTGCCCAAATCGAAGATTGCTCAAGAGCGTGTAGTAAATGTCTGGGATTATATGACTCGGATCATCCCAGAGAGAAGGGTGTTGAACACAAGGGGATAAATGCTCTTATTGCATCTTTACCAATGATTTTCTTTGCTGTAGTGGCAGGATTTCCTCGATTGAGTAAGCGTTATTCAGTAAGGTAAGGATGACAGGACTAGGGCAGAGGTTTGAAACAATAATTGCAGTTTGTTCTTCTGTAGTACCTTTCATCTGTGGAATTCACAACAATGCAATAATCCTCCTAACAGCTTTTGTAGGTAAGGAAATATTATGAGCCCTGTTTTTCAGCTGAGGAAGCTGAGAGGGAATGTGATGACGCAGAGAATCATAGGCAGAGCCAGAACTGGGACTCGGCTCTTCTGACTCATACTTTGTAGTTCTGAGAGCCTGGACACACCAGTTGGTGAGGCCACCCTGGCTACTCAGTGCCTATAGGACCTTTGTCTCTTCAGTGTTCACTCTTCATCTGCAAAAGGGTGAGCAGAGCCCCCAAACAGGGAACCCAGGAGCCAGGATGTCTACGAGCCCCCAGAGGCACAGCATTATGGTAATTGATGGGAAGGCAGGAAAGAACCGAGCTATCCAAGACCCAAAGGATCTTGTAAGTGTTCATCTGCAAATATAAGTTTTGATTGCGATCTAAATGCTGGTCTGGAGACAGCCAATATCCAACGGAGGGTCCAGAGTGGATTTAAATAATGCCCTTCCAGATCGGCAGTTCTTAAACCAGAGAAACAGAGATGACTGGCTTTCCCTGCAATGGAGAAGGAGTGAAGAGCCCACAAAATATTCTGTCTGACTTTGGTGTCTTTTATCAGGATGTAGAAAGAAGCATTTCTTGGAGGAGCTGGAGGCTGGGATACAGTGGGCTCAGATTTATATGTATGGAAAGAAGCAGAGCAAAAGCCTAAACTATTGTGGGAGAGAAGAAAGGGACATGACCACGGAATTTGAGAAGTGAAGAGAAACTGCCCAGCCAATATGGCTCCGTATCTTTGGCCACAGTAAATATGTTTCTTTGGAAATCAGCTGCATCTGACTG